TTTTGCATAAATTTTCAAATAATGTGGCTCCCTCAAGATTTTAAAAGTTAAACAAGAATCACAATATCAACTCTGGAAAGCTGAATGATAAATGCCAGGTGGCAATGTTAACATCAGCTGGCAAACAATGGCAGAGCTACTGTAAGAAAACTAATCAGATTTGTAAATTTTGAATTATGAAGTGTTGTCAAGAATGTACCCCTCATATAGACTGTGTCATTTTTTACAGAATCCTAGGCCCCTCACTGGACAGTATGATTAAATATGTCTAGGGTTGAAGCCGGGTAAAAGTTCCTTGGGGTTTCTAAGACTGATGATCTATGAATTATTGTTTGAAAACCATTGGTCCTATAAGAGAACAAGCACATTCATTATGTTAAAGAATTTTTTTTTAAGATTTATTTATTTAAGCTTACAGAACTGAGGTACAGGCCAGAGGTGTGTGGGCGGGGGGTGAGAGGATTCACCAGAGACAGATTGGGGAGCAGAACAGGCAGATTGACAAAGTACGCTGCTGAGGGGAGCAGCAGGCAGGTCAGAAGAGGTCTGCCATGCCATGGTGGTCAGTTTCAGGTACGCGGGGGATCAAGCTCATGCTGCAGTGGCTTCAAAGAGCTTCGTAATGAGAGCAGTGCTTTAACCTATTGTGCCACCAGGGAGATCCCCCATTAAATAATTTTTAACACATTATACATTGAATTCTGAGGATATAAGATGAAACAAAAGTATCCATGTGGTGTTTACATTTTACTGTATCTGCTTATTTACTAACTTCTTCAGTAGAATGTAATTACAATAAAGGGTCCTGCAGGTATGATAAGGAATACAGGGCATCTGGGGGCACATATGAGGCGCACTTCACATGTGAGGGCAAGGAAAAATATTTCAAGAAAAGGACATAGAGAAGCCATTGAGAACCACAGCAGAGAGAGAAATGTTGAACTGGAGAAAATGAAATGAGTTCAAGGGGTTTTAAATTCCAAGTAGGGGTGGAGAAGTATTGATGGACAGGCAAGGTCAGGAAGGACCTGATAAACTGTAGGGGATACTCAGCCATTTTCCTAAAGGAAAGGAGAGGAGTATCTCTTATGACATGGAATATGGAGTGAACTGAACTGAAAAGAAGGAGCTTCTCTCTCCACTGCAGCCTAAGATTCCAATGGTAGTAGTGCAAAAAAGTGGGGATAGAGGTGTGGGCCTTGGGAATAGGTACTTAGGAGAATGAATAAATAGGCCTTTATAATGAGTTACATGTGAAGAAGAAAGGGAAAAGTTAAGAATGATTGCCAATTACGTAACCTGGGGACAAATAAGTCATGCTACCATAGCTGCCATTTTTGTTGTTGAGTTATCTGATGCCATTATAATTTCCTGTCCCTTGACTTATTTCATTTTATTTTTCTTGAGAGCATTTACATCTTTCTCCTTGTCATGATAACGTGCCTTGTTATTTCTGGTATGTATTGTGCGGTATATGGTAGGACCTTTTTGCTATGAAGACTCATGTCTTATTCTTCTAAAAGAAAAAAGCTCTTGCTTATCTCCCCTCCCTTCCCCACACACATACTTGCATACAGTATGGGAGATCATCTTGACTTTATAGTCCAACTCTATAAATGTAAGGTAGCAAAGTTTTAAAAATTAATTTCCAAAATTATTTCCATTTTGGAGTCATTTGCTCCTGTTTCATGGGTCCAGTTTCTTATATCTCTAAAAATATTCTCTTCCCTCCATCTCAATTGTATAAATACCTCCTTCAAGTTTTGAATTCAAATCAGTCCAACTATCTCCACCAGACAGGAATTCTATACCACATTATGTTTTACACATCTAATATGTGATATTAAAAATTACATTGGCTCGGCCCTCCCTCGTGGCACAGCGGGTTAAAACACAGCACTGAGAAGCTAAAGCCACTTCCGCATGAGTTCGATTCCCGCCTGCCCTGGAGGTGACCACATGGCGTGGCAGACCTCTCCTGACCCGCCCGCTGCTCCCCTCAGCAGTGTACTTTGTCGATTTGCCTGTTCTGCTCCCCACTCTGTCTCTGGTGAATCCTCGCATCCTCCTCATCTCTGGCCTTTACCCCAGTTCTGTATGAATAAATGAATAAATCTTAGGAAAAAAAAATTACATTGGCTCCTATTGAGAAATCAGTATTATCCCCAATTATACTGTAAACTTCTCAAAAACAATAATCATTTACTTGTTCTCTATCAGCAATGGTGCCTTGTCTAGAACTAGGAATAGTGTAAATTAAAAACAAGTGGTTATTGATTTGACTTAAATAACAAGTCATCCTAATACTACCAAGCTATGCTATTGTATTTAGGGTCCTTTAAAGAGTCCCAAGAACATAGTACTTGTCAAATAATATGAGTGTATAATTTACAGATTTTTCACAATTTTTCCTATCTTTCACAGTATTTCTACACATATCTTATTCAATAGCAGTATCCTAGTGACACTGACTCTTCCTTAAAGCTTTTAACTTAAAATTTTTCTTTTCTCACTCATTTCATTAATTTGGGATGTACTTAATTGGAAGTTTTGATAAACATATGTTTCCATTGATAGGAACTGAAGGGTTTGGATCTTCCAGAGAGGAAATTGCCAGTCTTGGTTTTGTCAGTGGGGTGGAAAGCAGTCAAAAAAACAAACAAACAAACAAATAAATCTGCCATACTCTGTTCTTTGTATCTATCTCTGGCAGAAATGGGTTTGTGCTCTTCATCTCTCAAGTCCCCTTGAAATCAAGAAAAGCCCACTGGCGCATGTCAGTGCACAATCTTTGATCTTAAAATAGAACAGAAGCTGAGACCCCACTATTTTGGTCTCACTAGAACCCCCTTCACTGAATTCCCTTGGCCATGAGTCTTTAATGGGCCAGCAGAATTCTACCAGACCCAGAAATCTTGCCTGTTCTATCTCCAAGATGAATTCCTACTTCCCTCCTCAGTTCCAGTTCAGCAGCTGGGGCTACCAATACCAGCCATGGCTATTCTCCTTCACTTACCTATCACTTCTGCAACCATAAACTCTGGAAGAATGAAACATAGGTTCTTGGAGAAGGTGTCAGTGTCCCATTGACTTGGTATGATTCTCTCCTGCATGGGTCTTCTTAGAATAGTGACAACGGGGGTTTGAAAACTTTACTTACATTTCCTTATGAATGGTAACCTTTAAGTAAAGTCAACATAGGCTAACATTAATAACAGGAAAGCATACTAGTATTTCTTGGTGATTATCTTCCAGGGACCAGCATCATGTTATGGCTACCATAATCACAAATATGAAGGAAGTCACACAAATATGAAGGAAGTCACCCCTGGTCAATGTCAAAGGGGGGGGGGGTGAAGACTGTTCTGTGACTAGGAGCTTGAGAAAATTCTGGAGGAAATGCAGCTGAAATGCTGTATGAAAATTACAAGGCAAAACCAAATCTCAACCTGTTAGCTAGATGCATGCTGCATCTATATAAAGTCAAAATGGAAACAATTCATTTGAATTGACTTCATGATAAATTTAATGACTCAAATGCTTTGCCTGATACTAGTTTGTTTCAAATCAAAAGTCTGAATTTTTTTGTTTCATCTGTGGATATCCCCCCCCAGTTGAGTACTGAACAAAGACAAATTTCATTCTAAACTGATGGTAAGAACAAAACTATACCAAATCCCTTTACACTGTTACCTGCAATTTTCCCCCTTTGCTGATTGATTTAACATTGCATAACCTAGGTCATAGCTCTCTGCTCACCCAAAGATATCTGAATGACTCCCACCCTCATTCATGGCCATTAGGCATACTAGACACTTCACTCAGCCTGCATGGAGATGACTGTATAAACAGGGTGCCCTCACTCATCTATCTCCTTACCTAGCTCTTCAGGACCAACAGAGCCACAATCTTTATTCCCCAAGAGTCAAGTCAGCAGGCAGCTCTGTAGAACTGAGCTCTCTCCACACTCTTACCCATGTCCTCTTCTGTATCTTCCTGTGTGTAGCTGTATTTTCCTCAAGCAGTTTTTTTTTTTATATATCAAGGGTCCTATCACCTAGATCTATAATAGCATCGAAAACTTTCTTCTCTAGGTGTTTCTTCATCTCCCTCTCTCTTACGAAGATGAATTCTTAAGAGTAGCTCATGAGAAATGAGCAGACCGATTAGTGGCATGGAGACAAGAATGTCCAGGTGATAGTTTAAGGAACTCCAAAGACAGCCTTGTGGAGATCAATTATCAAAAATAATAGTACAGTTGACCCCTAAACAATGTGAAACCATGCCTCAATTGAAAATCCCCTTATAATTTATAGTAAAATTATAAATTATGCTGTATCCATAGGGTCCATATCTGTGGTTTCAACCAACCACAGATGTCAGTTTGTTGAATCTTCAAATATAGAACCTGCAGATCGAAAAAAAAAAATCCACACATAAGTGGACCCACACAGTTTAAAAATGTGTTATTTAAGGGTTGACTGTACTTTAGGTCAAACTGTACTAGATGCACCCAGAAAATGCCTGCCCAGGTTTGATCACAAAGACAATTCCAGTTTGGGGCAACATTTCAATATATCTCAACGAGTTCTCTCTAAATATCCACCCTCCCCCTCAAGAGAAAATAAAATACAACAGTAACTTTCTACTCTTTCTAAGAAAGTGACAGAATTTATAGTCAATCACCATGGAATTGGGTCTTCTTCACATCAGATAATCCCAATGCTACCCTGTCTAGAACTGCCAATTCCAAACCTCACATGAGCAAGAGAAATAACTCTTCAGATCACTTGTGCAAAATTTTCTTCAATTGACTAAAGCAATAGTTTGAAAAGCTTTCATAGAAAGATGTTCATTAAAAAATGACAATAAAAAGGCCCCACCCTTTCCAATAATTGCAGAAAACAGAGAGAAAAGCTGGGTATAAGAAGAAGAAGAAAAAAAAAAAACAGTCTGTCTCAATCCAAAAATATAACACTGCCTCTCTTTCCTTGTTTTAGGGAATGCTGTCGATTTTTTGGAGACAATGGCTTGACTTTGAAGGTGTTTTTTACCAAGGCAGCCCCCTTTGGTGTTCTTTGGACACTCACAAACTACCTGTACTTACATGCAATAAAGAAAATAAACACTACGGATGTCTCCGTGTTGTTCTGCTGCAACAAAGCTTTTGTGTTCTTGCTCTCATGGATCGTTCTCAGGGACAGGTTCATGGGAGTGAGGGTAAGTTCCTTATTATCTGTCTTCCTCCCTCACTCAGTCATGTCAACCTAACTCTGCCCATTGGCTTGCTTAACTCCATCTGCTGACCATAAGCATAAGCTGCTGACCACTTTCCTTCTGATTTACAGCAGAAAAGGAGCCCAGCAGAGGGCCCAGTTCTTGGTGTACCTTGCAAACCTTCTTGCTTGCAAACCATACTATACAACATTCATTAAAGCACCTTTCATTCCAAGCGTTTCAACAAGCATGCCCTAAAGTGTGTGCCAGTCGGGGACCCAACTAGGAAATGGCAATATTCTCCCCTTTGTGTGCTCACCTCTGTCTCATGGGCAGCAGTGTCCTGAAGCCTGGAGCTTGATGCTAACACTGTCACTCTCTCCTTAGGATATATGTGAAAGTCAGAAGATCCTCCATCCACACGTACATGCAGTTTTGGTAGGCTCTTTGGCTTTGCACACAGACAAAGTAAGCCAGACACGCATATGCTAAATTCAACTTCTAGAGAGTCATTTTCCTACATTTTCATTTCCTGCTCAACCCAAATGAAGAGGGAATGAAATAATATGCTTTGAATTACCTCTTATTACAATTGAGACTTTGTAAATCCCATTAAAATCTAGTCATAATTTTGGCTAGTCAAACTACATAACAATTTTATGAAATTGGGTGGATATACTATCAAATATCACCCACATTATTGAGGGACTTGCCCTGAATAAAAGAACAGGTGACTCTGAGAGTGGACAGAACCCTAGTGGCTTTAGTTTGCCTCCCTCTGGTGGTCAATAGCTGCTACTGCGCCCCCATCATCTTACCACAAACTGGGATAATACATGGATTGAGCCAAACAGCTCGTTCTCTTTTAGACAGATGCATCACTCACTCCTTCCTGCACCTGAAGACCAGGTGGGCTGACCATCATATTAGGAACATTTGATGGGCAGTCCCAATAGAGTGAAACATGCTGGTAACCAGCAAGGGGCAGACTCCAGACCCTCTACTTGTCATTGTCCTGAGAACAGTGATATCACCCTAATGGTGGATTCACACCCACCTAGTTACTCAAACAGCAGTGGGGACATGAGTCAACTGCTGAGTTGTATTTTTAGGTTGCAGTAGGGGGAAAATTTGTTTTGAGGCTTAGTGTTAATTTTGGAATAAAAACTCACTCACAGTTCTACCACCCAGAAAAGCTCTCAGCAAATAAATGATACAATACCTCTCCACAAGAAATATAGATACTCCCTTTTCCAGCAGCCCCCTGACAAGCACTGGCCTTGGATGATCTGGGCCTGTGGTGACTTTATTTTGACACAAACAGCCAAAGGAATTCATGGGATCTTGGCATGATTCTGATGTCCAAAGCAGTTTCCAAATGACAGCTTGTACTCACAAGAGATGCTTCAAGGTTAATTCGGCATTGAAGCAGAGAAAACACATATTTGGTGGTTACCTGAAGCCCTCCTAGATTTGTAGGGAACAGTGTGGCTCATAAAGATCTTTTTACTGCCACACATTGATAAGAGTGTTTTCCTCTTGCCAGGCCTGAGCTGTGAGGTGTCCCCAAGCTGCTGGTTCACATCAGTAGTCAGCACAGCCAGGCCATAAGCCCTCAGCACCCCGCCAGGCCTGAAACCACAGACCAATGAGATGGTGTTAGTGATGGAATTGTGTGATCTGGGCAGCTGTGGGTCTCTCTAATACCCATTGCTCCTCTTAGAAGTATGTGACCTTAGAAGTAGAAACCTGTTATCTAGGAGCTTCCCAGTCCAGACTGTGATGGATTTCCCTCCTCTCCAAGAGTTCAGACAGCTAGGGAAATCTGAGTCCTCAGCAGCTGGCCAGAGTCCCTGAAAGATTCCCTTTGATAAACAGCTTCACGTTGAACTTAAAGTGCCGTCAAACTGATGCAAGTGTAGTCTTAGTCTCCTCCCAGCTTGTTGCTAGGTAGTTTCCAAAGACTGAAGGTAACTGACATCATTCCCCATTCCAGAGGGCTGAGCATTCAAGATGGAGACAAAAAAAGACATCAAGAACACCACACGTCTCAGCATTATGTTTGGGTAACAGATTACAAAAAGGACCTATTAAGACAATAATTACTCAAATAGAGCGGGCTGAGGGTCCTGGTCCAGGTGAGATAGGCAAAGCAGAAAACAACTGTATTTTTTAATACTGGGGAGATCTTGGTCACCCCATGTGGCATCGGAGGTGACTGAAAGGAGTTCAAGATTCAAGATTCCCCTGGTGTCACCTTTGGCTCTGCTAAGAAACCTGAGCCTGGAGAGTCAAAGGCACATCTGTGCACCGGCCAGAACACAGCTAGGAAACCATGTTCTAGCTGAGAGGCATGTGGCTAGGATTTGGACTTGCATCCACTTTTACAAGCTGTCGGGCCTCGAGCTAGTTACTTAAGGCCTCTGAATTACCTCATTTTAAAGTAGAATGTTAGTACTCATCTTACAGAACAGCAGTGAGAATAAGATGATGCAAGCTTGGCACATAAAACACAATAAATGTTATCTCTTCGAGTCAGAAGGGCTTGAAAGAGCAACCCAGGTGAGTGTGCTTGAGTGTCAGAAACTGAAAAACATTTAGGGAGGTTTTTTTGTGTCACACAGTAGCAGCAGAATGAACAAGAAGAACTCTGGGAGGATGAAGTGTGATCCCTCCTATAGCTCAAACCCTCCCAGAGTGACCAAATGAAAAGGTTAGGTGGGTGACCCCAGCCCAGCTCACATCTCAGGAGATATGACAATTGGGATTTTCCAATTACACAGCCACTATCCATAACCTGTTAGGGCTTTCTGACTGGGGGGACTGGCCATGGAGCAAGAAGGCAAATGATCATCCCAGAGAGCCTTCAAACCCCAGCAGCATGTTCCTGGGGACCCATACTTTCCCCAAAATCAGCTCCCATGGGAATCCAAGTGCAGTTGATATTTCCAAGTATGACAGTGCCTTTGGCATTGCCCAGGCCCCTCCTTCCTGAGTACCTCCAGCTCTGACCCTGCCCCTCACTGAGTGAGAAGCTGCCCCATCACCCAAGCACCATGCTGGGAAGGACCTGGGAGCACAGCTGGGTTTGCAGTCCCCTTCCCTTCCCCATCCCTAGCACATGAGCTTCAGTGAGAAGTCTCCAAACCCTAATACTCTCTGAGTCAACAAAACAGTATAGGAGTCAGAGGGAAAGTGTTGGGAGAAGTATACTTAACAATGAGTCTGTTTTGAAATAACCCCAAACTATAGGGATCTAAAATGCACCCCAAGCAGGGTTCTAGCAAAGGGTGTGTGTTGATCAGAGTGGGGTTCAGTGCCAGGTGAAGAGATGAGGGGGCTGCATGGGGAGCTGACCGTACTCCTCCATCACACACAGCCTGATATGACTGGGAGTGATGTGACCTTGCGGGGGGTAGCAGGAGACCCAAAATAGGAGTTTGTGGAGCTCTGAATCTAGAACCCCAGAGACCTGACAGGTTATAATAGTGAGTGAGATTATGTTTTGAGGCCAGCAGGCTGCTGTTGAATCTTGCAGGCTCTCCCACATCTGTGTTTCTTCCTCATCTCTAGTCACAGAAAACAGTTCTTTCTACCATCAGCTGCTTGGCCTCAAGGTTGCTGTTACCTACCAGTCTGGGTCCCCAAGTCCTTGTCTTAGGTTAGTTCAGTGGCACATATTTGGGAGGGGACATTAGGAAAACATGATAAAGGAAAGGCCTGAGGAGATTCACCTGCCTATTTCATAGCAGACTCTTCCTCAGGGATGCCCAGAAAGTGAGGGACTTATGAAATCTTAGGGTATAAGCCTTCCTGTGGAGTCCTTTATATAGGAATTAAGGAGAGAAGCACTTCTACACATAAGGCAAGAAATCCAGCTATGTGCTAAATTCAAATGTAAAATATGCACCTTTTTAAAATTGAACCATTATCTTCAAAGGAACTGAAGAGGGCCTCTCAGACTCCGCACATCCTCACACACACACCCTTTTAGGGCTGCTTTATCTCAGCTGCTAGAGGTGATGAGGATGAGGCAGAGCTCCGACTGATGCGGCAGTGCTTTGACCCAGCCCCAGACTTTGGTCTCGGGGGGGCTGCCATCCTGAGAGTCATAGCCCCAGTCAAGCCAATTACTCCTGTAACGTGTGGTTGGGACCCTCAAGAGGAGACTGGAGGTTTGAACAAGAGGAATCACAGTTCCCTGAAAAACCTCTCACAATGAACTCACAGGGCAGGGCTAAAATGCTCACTAGCACCCGCACTGTTTCTTACGCCTCTTAGCCCCTTCTCTCTGTCCCTCTGCACAGCTCAGCTCAGGAAAAAGTGAGAGCTATTATATTATTTAATCAATAGAGAAGAGAGAGAAAGAAATCAGAAATACTTGGTAAGGCTTCAAGACAAAATAATTCTTTGTTCTGCTTTCTTCCTCAAAATTCAGCCCTAAGTTTGAAAAAAGCCAAGGACCTTCAGGGATGCCTCAAATCACCTGAGTTTGAACTGTTCTTCCCCTTCCTTTCTCCCTCCTTCTATTTCTCTCTCCCTTATTTTTCTAGTTATTTTTCTGTTTACCTAATGCCTTGCCAGGTTGAACTGTTCCAAGCAGCATCTTTGCATTATGTGCATCTTCTAGAGCAGAAGCCAACCCCTCTCCCTGCATGCCTTTATAATCACCACTTTCTTGTCCTCTTGGTGGGGCTAGGGGAGGCGGTAATTCACTTATTGTCATGCTGTCTCTGTTTCTTTTCTTAATGAACTTTGTAGACAGTAAATGGAGCATTTGAATATAAATTATATGCAACATGTGATGCAGAATGATGCAGCAGACAAAGTGAATTCTAATCCAGAAAGAACAAGTAGACAGATGAGGGCCTGGCTCTTTTCCAGTCAATGACATTCACCTGTTCTCTCACAAGTCTCTGTGTTATAGGCAATCTATTGTTATATGAAATTACTGCATGAGGAATTCACTAGAAGCATGTAAGTCAAACTGTGTGAGACTCCACATTAGCTTTCACTAACCTAAAACTTCTGCATTTAAACCATGAAGGAAATTCCCACTCAAGTCTTAAAAGAGTTGGCAATGCTATATGAATCTGTGTGTGTGTGTATACACACACACACATGCACACAAACACACACACAGTAAAAAAATACTAGCCTTGCAATCCGGCAGACCTGAAAAATGTGCCCCTTGTCTGCCACACACCATCTCTGCGACTGTGACTTTGGGCAAGTTTCTTAGCCTCTCTGAGTCTATGTTTTTATGTCTGTTAAAGTGAAATGACTGATATCCACCTATTTTTGATCAACAAATGAGAAAGCAGATGGGAAGCATGTATTAGCCCGTGACAGCTTGGAAAATGTTAGCCACTTAATATTGGTATTGCTAGTTTAGGTCAGTTTGGAATGATCCATAAAAGGAGTAAAATTTTCTGGAAAGCCAGCCATTGAAACATGCATGGCACCTATATGTCCTGACTTTCCACATTCTACCTACATCATCCCCACCCCCATCCCTACCCAGAGACATTGTAACATTACAATCACCTCGGATTATAACTTGCACTTATTCTCTGTGCTAATTCAGTTGTCTTTTGGGAACTGTTATCTGAGTTCTTTCTCTCCTGTACACTTTGAGAATGTTATTTTGCACTGTATATACTATACATCTCCCTGGAGCTTCCACTACACCTGGACAATAATTAGATCAAAGGGGATTTGGTGGGGGCCTGCAACAGCCAAGAAAAGGAGCTGTACCTTAAGGGCTGGAACACTGTGACCTGAATGGTAGGTGACACGTGCTCTACAGAAGACCCTACTGCTAGGATGTAGCATGAGCCCAAGATCTGGAGTCCTCATTTTGCCCTCTGTCGGGACACAAAATACATACAAGCAAGATCACACAAGGTACTCTCAGAAAACCAAGAAAGATCTAAGTGGGGATATCTAGGTACTGTCTATCAATCGTTGTTTTAACCAAATCATCAGTCCTTGGGAATATGCAGTAATCATGGAGCCACTCGCATCCCAGCCATGATTTCAAGTTATTCTCTTGTGCTAAGCACCAACAAAAATTCAAACAAGGGAGCAAACTTTCCTTGTCAGTCTTCCTTTGGAGAACAAATAGACACCTCTCTGCTCTCATTGTTGAACTCTCAAGATTATTTCTACCTCACCCGCACTGAGGTGGCCCATCCAATTCTCCACTACTACTCTGACCACCATTTTCTTCCTTCCATCCAGATCGTGGCCGCCATTCTCGCCATTGCTGGGATCGTGATGATGACCTACGCGGATGGCTTCCACAGCCACTCAGTCATCGGCATAGCGCTGGTGGTGGGCTCTGCATCCATGTCTGCCCTCTACAAGGTAAGCACTTGGTGGGCAAGAGCTCTGAGCTTCCATTAACAGTAGCATTACTGGCCCATTACTTTTTTTGGTGTCTGTGGTTTAAGATGAATATTAGTTTCAGTGTGCACTACACAAACTGAGACTTGCGATGCTAAGGCAGGAAACCACCCTTGACTTTTTAGATCTTTCCACCAGAGGCAATGCATATGCATCACTTAAGATAAAAATGGGAGAAACAATGATGGGGCAGTCAGATTTGTGACTTCCCTGTTAGACAGGGCCTGGAGAAGAATGGCGGAGTGGTCATCCACACTTGAATATCTGGTATAGCTTTGCCATTTAAATCTTTTCCCAGATGATTTTTACAGCCACCAGTACTCAACACGAATCCATATGCATTTCAAGCATTGCCTCATTGACTGAATAAACAAAAGCACAACTATTATAATATCGGGACTTTTTGAATTTTCTGACAAAATGTTGGGAAACATTAGGTGACTGAAATACCTACAGACAAGGACAGGTGCAAGAAATGAAAGCTGGTTGCACTGTGTTGAAACCCACTGCATTTCTAGAATGGTGGTGGAGGGGTAGAGCAGAGATGGACTATCATATATGATATGTGATAATCCCTTTACCTTTCGTTAATAGAAAATATCTTTGTAGCCCAGGCCTTTTTACTTGGGGGTCAACAGTGTGGTACAAAATCAGAAATCATTTTCAGAGATTCCGGAAAGGAATGGTAACATTGGCAGATATTTCTAATATTCATGATACCATATCCCAGTTTCAGGTATCTGGAGGAGAGGAGACCAAATAAACAACATGGACAAATCAAACATAATGTAAAAACTCTTAAGAACCCTTATGCAGCCAGAGAATCACTACATGGTGATATGATGGAGCTGCGAACAGGTGTTGTGAACCTAGGTCAAAACCCAGTAACCCCAGGCCAAGTAAGGTAGAATTGACCTGGCACAAGGCTGACAGTCCACTGTCCAGTCTGCTTGATGATGTGTACTTGGTCCCTCTGGCTTGTTAGCCTTCCCCACAAGCCTTCATCCCTCCCCTTTACTTTCTTGCAGGTTCTGTTCAAGCTCCTCCTGGGCAGTGCTAAATTTGGAGAGGCTGCCTTATTTTTGTCTATTTTGGGTGTGTTTAACATCCTTTTCATCACCTGTATTCCTGTCATCCTCTACTTTACCAAAGTGGAATATTGGAGTTCTTTCGATGACATTCCATGGGGAAACCTTTGTGGATTTTCAGTCCTCTTATTGAGTAAGTGGTGATCACCCATCAGAAGTCCCAGATAGCAATGGCCCTGTGGATTGAAGGGAATCTTTGGAAATCCAGGGCCCTGAAGAAAAAAAAGTCTATTGTTGGCCTTAAATTTCCATTGCTTTTTAAGGTTGTTGTGTTACACAAAGTAAGGTCTTTGTAATGACAACACTGGATTCTAAGTCCAGAGTCAAAGTCCAAGCGGTAGTAGCCAAGAACATTGCTCTCTGTATAGTCAACTATGTATTACCAACTATCAGTAATAATATTTCTGATAGGGTTCATAAAGATTTGGTAAACTAATATAGGTGGTGTTCTAAAACACGTTATTAGTATCAGTTATCATTATTAATGTTATTACCACCACCATTACTTGGTATCAGACTGGCCCTAGCAGATAGGCAACCAGCCAGCTTAGGAGGTACTGATCCAGTTTCTATCAGAAAATTGCATTTCCTATTCATACCATCATCCCAGTGTCATTGCCAACAATTCAGAAAATCAATGTAGGAAGATGAATATTATGGTCCCAGTCTTCTTTTCTTCTCATTAGTTATGTTTACCAATTTTTTTAAAGGTATGTTTATTTATGCATACAGAACTGGGGTACTGGCCTGAGGTGCAGGGGCAGTGAGAGGACTCACCAGAGACAGAACAGACAGACTGATGAAGTACACTGCTGAGGGGAGCAGCAAGCAAGTCAGGAGAGGTCTGCCACACCTTTTGGGTCACCTCCCTGGCCTGGAATCAAATTTGTGCTGAAGTGGCTGTGGTACCTTCCTAGTGCTGTGCTTTAACCTGTTGCGCTACCAGGGAGAGCCCCCATTTTCCTTTTTTTTTTTTTCCTTCTTCAAGCTCAGGAAAGGGAAAAGTAATCAAGAAGTCTCTCCCTAATTGATTAGCCCTTGCAGGAACCCTAAGCTCACTTAGTGAAAGCAAAAAGTAGAGGTAACTTTTGTGACTTCTGGTTAAATGGAGAAGCTGAAATCAGATAGACCAGGGAGGACATAAAAGTTACAAATAACACCCTTTCTTCACTCTGTCTTTCAGCATTCAATATTGTATTAAATTTTGGAATTGCTGTTACATATCCCACTCTGATGTCTCTTGGAATCGTCCTCAGTGTACCCGTGAATGCAGGTAAACTCTATGGCTTTCTGTTTATAAATAAACACACAAACATGCATGTGTGTACACACAAATGATATTCTTGCTGTGCCTGGTACTGAATGCATGCTTGACCGTCTGTCTAGAAAGAGAGCACTTGGGTAAAATGTTTGTTATATATGTAATATTTTCACCATGATGGGCTGGTTTTTAACTTACCACATCAGGATATAAAAAATATAAAACCATCCAGTTATAACTGGTGTGAAATCAGAGATGAGCATCATTAATATTAGTAATAAATGTAGAAAAATAGAGGGAAAAATTTAATGTTTGCTGTCTACTTATATGGGTGAGCTGTGCTCTTCAGTCTGTAAACACACTTACATCGTACCCTGAGCCATACCTCATTCTCCACCTCCCAGCAGAGAGAGCCCTATGGTTCCCACTGAGGAGTCACCTGCACATATAGGTGGCAGCCCTTTCAGAGCTGGTTGCCTGCCCCTCACCTTCCTCTTCCTGGGCTGAATCTTGGATTCCGCACCCCCTCTCCGCTCCCCAAGTGTCCCTGCCTCACCCCTGCCCTTCCAATACAACCTGTTCTTAGCCAGGGGCGGGTTTGTGAGTCACTGTTTTACAGTGCAATCACCCCCTTAAACCTTCCTCCAAAGCCCTCTGCTTTCTGAACTATTAGATTAGAGGACCAGTCTCCCTGGCAATGGCAAATCTTACTGCTCCTGGAAGCACCAGCACAGAGCATTCCACAGTCTGAATCCTTTGCTATGATTTGTCTTCTGATCTAGCACCACCTCTGCCCACCTGGAGGACAGTGGACCTGATTCATCACCTCTCTGGGCCTTAGCTTGTCTACCCTAAAATTGAAGGTAGTGCCAATTCTCATTACCATGATTGATGTGAGAACCAAATAAAATAATCTGAGACAGCACTCACAGTGCAGAAAGCTTCTTCACAGTGCAGAAAGCTTCTGAGCTCTCAGAGAACTGGTTAAAAAAAAAAAAAGGTCTAGCCACTCTGTCTCCATACCCCACAGGGTTCTGAAAAATAAAATAAAAGACTAGCTTATGTCTTACTATGTTTTTACAGTAACACAACATTCTTAGTGTGAGAAGACATATTTCCAGTGGTTTTTATATGGAAACTTACTTTGACCATATCCCCTAACCAGGTGTTTAAGAGATTAATCAAAATTGACTGCAACATAAGAGACTGAATAATATATCAAAGGAATCTCATTCCGTTCTTGAATTGAAGAGAGAAGTAAGAGTCTGCTGTTATAGAACATGTCACAGGGAACTATTGCTAGAACTTTAATGTCTCTCACACTCTCTCTCTCCTCATGTGATCTGCAAATTGACTAACCCCATATGTTGAATTAACATATTCTGCCAATATTAAAAATCAAAGTACTTCTGAATTATAATGGGATAAATGAGGCAGTTTACTTCTACAAAAGGACAACTTACAAACATTATTTCAGGTTTGACTTTTACCCCTCTTAGATTTTCTCTGCCTGCCCTCTAGATGAGGTAAGAGTAGGGGTGCGGGGGGAGGAGAGGTAGGAGAGGAGAATGACAGAGCTAGCCCACAGGCTGGGCAGCAGGACAACCCCATTCCAGGGAGAAGGGCAAAGACACCCAGCCAAGTCAGAGCGTCAGGCCTGTACACACCCAAGTCAGTGCTTCCTCATCAGGAAAGACAAGCGATGTGGGACTCTCTTCCAGAGACAATCTACTGTAGCCAGTTTAAATAAGAAAAGGCAGTCAAGGAGAGGAAAAACCCAAGCCTCTACAAGGCTTTGGATTTCTTGCTCCAATTTTTAATGACTTAACATGAACCCTGCTTCTCCTTGTTTTTTCTCGCCTGATATGAACCATTCATTGCATGAGCCTGTCACAGTCAGAGATGATCCAAGTGTTAAGGCCTTTCACTAGGAATGTCCAGCAGCACAACAATAAATTTATATTTATTATTTTCTCAAAACTATCTCAAGCTTGTGTTAAAAAATTATGTAAGATACAGCTCAGAGATAAAACAGGTTCAATTACAGAACTCTGCAATAAAGCAAGTCACAGGAATTTTTTGGTTTCCCAGTAAATAGAAAAAGTTAATTTTATTCTATATTGTAGCCTATTAAATGCACCAAAGCTTGTTTAAAACAACAATGTGACAGTGAGACATGAAGTGAGATAGCTATTGGGGAAATGGCACCAATTGACTTGTTTCATGCAGGGATGCCATGAACCTTCAATTTATAAAAATTGCAGTGTTTTAAGTACAATAAAATGAGGTATGTATGTACTAGGAAAATGCTTTTAAATCATAACAATAATGTCATTGCAGAAAATATAAAATCTACCAAAAATATGAAGTAATACTCTCATGAGGTAACCATGAGTAAACTCAGTGTGTGTGTGTGTGTGTGTGTGTGTGTGTGCATGTGCTCATGTGTGTAGATATAGATGAAGGGCAGCTAGAGATTTTATATCAGGGGAATGCATATCATGTATATGTAAATGTGTGTGTGTGTAAAACTGCAAATCAGAGTCTGATCAAAGTGCTTGATCATTTGGGGAAAGTGAATGCAAGTGCAAGGCTTCATACCAGAAAGATTTTATAAAATTCAGGTTTTTTACTCAAGGTAATTCCTGCCATCTGGAACAAAACAAAACTGAGGGGGATCCTGTGGTTGAAGGAAGCCAGCTCCCCTGCCAGACGAGGGATGCTCACAGCTTTGCTCCTAAGGAGGATGCACACTTTTTGCTCTGTGCCCAAGGCTTGACGTGTCCCTGAGTAACCCAAGCTCTCTGTCCTGTGCAGTGGTGGATCACTACACCAGTAAGATTGTCTTCAATGGAGTCCGAGTCATTGCCATCATCATCATCGGCTTGGGCTTCCTTCTTCTCCTCCTTCCTGAGGAATGGGACGTCTGGCTCATTAAGCTGCTCACACGCCTCAAAGTGAGGAAGAAGGAGGAGGCGGCTGAGGGTGGTGGGGACCTGGGCTCGGGACCTCAGAACAAGAACAGAAGAGCTCGCCCTTCCTTTGCCCGCTGATGTCCACTCTCTAGAACTCTGCGGTGAACACTCATGTTAAAGATTTGGAGGTCTATTCCTGACAGGGGAACCTCAGTTTGATAAGGTGTACATACCTGTACAGTAGGTAATCTGCAGTAAGTTATATGGTATTTATTGGCATGTCCAATTTGCTTGCACTTTTTTCACATCAGACCTTTCACTTAAGGGTACCAATTCAAGAGGAAAGAGAAAAGAATTCTCAGCTCTTTTTAAATGAATGTAAAGCAGGTTAAAATTATCCTTGCATAGATTGTTTTGGATAACAGACATTCTTGACAAAGCAGGGCAAATGTTTTGAATTTAGCAGCCGAAAATTACATTGCACACTGTGATTATTTTTCAGCTATGGTAGGTCATATTTTGTTTTATACCAGAGCTGTAATCTTAGTTTTAAGGAATTTCACTGAACCAAAAGATAACTGTAAGTTAATTTGGATGGATGGATGGATGGATGGATGGATGGATGGATGGATGGATGGATGGATGGATGGATGGATGTATGGATGGATGGATGGATGGGATGTGAAGAGGTGAAACAGAAAAGAATAATGGACATCTAAAACCATCTGCTATGACAAATCTAGGGGTGGTAATTGGAGGACAGGTTTGAGCCAGGTAACAGAAGGGGAAAGATTAAGTTCAAGCCCCAAGTGGCTTGCTCTTATGTATGTCTCTGTAAGATCATGCAAGAGAAATTACAGTGCCTTCTACAGAATTTTTGTCTTTACCTATGTGAAGCGAGGTGACATTATAAGTCACTGGCGCCGTCTTATAATTTAGATGTAGAAATCTTTAGAAACAAATAAAATTATATGTGTGTGTGTGTGTATGTACAAAAATGTCAAAGTTGATGACCAGCGTAACAGAACATGGCTGGTGGTGTGCAGCACGCATATGAGGTAGACTGTGCAGAAAGTGCATTGCTGGTTGCTTTTACTTCATGACCAAGACTGAAATATTATTTACTGAATCTGAAAAACCTTTTTATGAAACTTTTAAAGCACCAGGCTGTTTACTTACACAATTTAGGTCTGCCAGAAAATTCTATCTGTGATAGATCTGTAAAGAGGGGGAAGGGGGTTAGAGTTTACTATTTTTGAAGTTTACATTGTTACATATGAAATGGAAACATTATTTTGAAATGTTGTCATAACCCAATGGTGCACTCTGTAGCCATGGAGTCTTTCGTTTCATAGGGGAAAGGGGCATTCATGACCTGAACTTTTTAGCAAATTATTATTCTCAGTTTCCATTACCTGTTTGGCCAAACAGATTAATAAACTATTTCAAAAAGAAGCATTCAAGTGCTGTCTTGGTGACACTTTGTTACTTTCCCACTGCACTAGTTCTGGTTTGATAGAGACCTCAATCTTCTCCTCCACCTTCTGCTTTACTTCCAGCAAGTCCCACCATCCTGTCACTTCAAGACAGGTAAATCCAACCAGCCCCCTAGAGGAAAGAAAATTCTACTGAAGCCAGAGTTGACTTTCACAAAACAGAAATGCAAACAATCATCCTGTACTCTCCCTTGGCCTCTCCTTTCTCCCCCAAGTGCCTATCCTTTGCTCAGCTCTGCATATTATTTGTTTCCCTTTCTTGTTCTTACTGGTTTCTTACCTCAACTTACACTGGTCTCTCATAACTGCCTCAAAGAGACAGCCCAGGTTCATACAGTAACATGATTTTCCAGTTCAAGAACCATATTTGACTTCTGTCTTAATTGTGCTAACTGTATACTAACTCTATAGAAAATCTGATCTCCTTAGCTTCATGTCTCCATCACTGCTCATAACTCCTGGTCATACCTGCCTGGAAGTCTAATGTCTCTCACTCTGTTGCTACAAAGAGCCAGGCTCTCTAAGATGGGATGTGAGCAGAGAAAAGATAAAGAGCCTTTTTTTAAAAAAAAAGATTTATTTATTTATTCATACAGAACTGGGGTACAGGCCAGAGATGCAGAGGGTGAGAGGATTCATCAGAGACAGAGCAGGGAGCAGAGCAGGCAGATCGACGAAGTACACTGCTGAGGGGAGCAGCGGGCAGATCAGGGGAGATCTGCCTCACTATGTGGATCTCCTCCGGGGCAGGCGGGGGTCAAACTCATGCAGAAGTGGCTTAAGCTTCTTAGTGCTGTACTTTAACCCCCTGCGTCACCAGGGAGGGCCCCATAATACAGCCTTTTTAGGACATCTTGTTCTACCACTCACATCTAGAACATCTATAAACCATGAAACACTTGGGGGTCAGATCTTGAGCACCTAGCTGTTGGTAACAAAAAATTCCATAACCAATGAATCCAGAACATGACATGAACCCTACTCGGCCCCTGCTGTAGAGCATGGGGCAACAGTATCCTGGACCAGTCATCCTGTCTGAGATTCAGACCTTTCCAGCAAGCCAAGGTGTCAGTCATAAAATGAAAAAGTTGGATAATCCAATACACAAGAATTTCCTTATCCTCCCAATGAATATTAAAGATTATGAAGATCCTAAAGAATTGAAAGCAGCAGTATTCCCGATAGCCAATGAGTGAAAAGAATAGTGTCCATCAATGGATGAATATATATACAAAATGGGGATCATTATTCCACCTTAGAAAGTAAGGAAATTCTGACATATGCTACAATGTGGATGAACGTTGAAGATATTATGGTATGTGACATAAGCTAATCACAAAATATGTATATGTGAGATAACTGGACTAATCAATTTCCTAGAGGCAGAAAGTAGAATAATGGCCAGGAGGGGCTAGGAATGAGGAGTTATTTTTGAATGGGTACAGCATTTCAGATTTGTAGGATAAAGTTGTGGAGATGGATGGTAGTGATGGCTGTGAAACAGTGAATGTACTTAATATCACTGAAATGTGCACTTAAATGACTAAAATGATAAAGTTTGTGTTATATATATTTTACCACAATAAAGAAAAGATTAAAAGGATAAGGTAGTGAAATAAAAAGATTAAACCTCTCAGGAGAGATTAATACTTCATTCAGGACATTATAAACATGAGTGTGGAGAGGGCTGTGGGGAGAATTTGAGAGAGTTCCTTCCAGAAAGCATACAAATCTCTCCCAAGTCGATTTCAAGGAATAGAATGAGCTATGGCAAATCTGACAGGGAACCATGAACAGAAAGTGCCAGAAAACAGTTCCTCCTCTTGAACCACGGAGTTGCTTGGGACCCTTGCTCTGTCTAGGGAATTGTCTGCCCTCTAGAGGCTAGTCTAAAATATCAAAATATTTCCCATTAAGTAATGAGAAAGAAAAGCCTAAGGTAGAAGCTAAGAGACTGGACATCGGTCTTCACTGAAGAAGTTTAAAGGCTCTCAGCAATTTCCAGCCTTCTCCCTTTTTCAAAACACAGTCGTTTGGAGCCAGACAGCAGGAAGTAACTCACCACTCCCTTGTCCCACATGACAGTTGTCTCTAGGAACCCACACACACTGTGCAAACACAGCTCTTGCTTTTCCTAGGCCTTCAAGGAGCAAGAAAACCATGATCAGAAGCCTACCACCTTGCAGAACAGGTGTGTTTCCAAATCTAGCCAAGGAAGCATAACAGTTTTTTATTGTCAATTTTGAAAATAATTTTTTCTAAAATTAAAAAGCGGTTATTGTGCAATTTTGTGAATTGTTAAAATTCAATGAATTGTCCACTAAATATGGGTGAATTTATAGTGTTTGAGTTATATCTCAATAAAGTATTTCAATAAAGAAATAGATGGTGACCATACAGAATTATTTAAAGTTCTTTTCCCAAAATCCAACAAGCAGAGAGGACACTTGTTGGGTAGTTGGCTTAGTTCCAAAGGGCAGCATCTGATCCCCATTTGAAATAGCACTTTGCAATTATGGCAGAAGCTGAACAGAACAGATTCTCCTTCCTGGACCCACTCAGTTGGGGGAAGAGATGATGGTGTGGCCTGCACTGGGCCAGTGGGCTTCAGTCTCCAAGACTCAGGCTCTGAAGTGGAGGTGTCCAGCCACACAGCACTTCCCAGAGGGGTGCTCACCAGCCAGTCCCTGATGCCTCCCTGGGCTCCCTCTGCCTCCCATCTGGGAGGCTCCTGTCCTTTTCCAAATAGATCTTCAAACGCCCACGATGCAAGTAACCTTCCTGTCCACATGCTTCTGAATTAAGACAAAATGCCAGTTCTATTGCTTGAACCCAAGAACTCTGCATAATATGTGGGCAAAAACTGGAATGTTCAAAGAAAGGTTGAACTTCTGCTTGTTGGGGGTGTGATGGGTTGTTATTACTTTTTTGTGACTTCTTTTGTCATTATTGCCTTGCTTGCACTAAAGACAAAGAACAATTGGTAAATATGTTAAGTCATCTATTTGGTAGATAATAAAGAGCATTTAAAACTTTTCACAGTGATTAAATACATGTTTTTTTTTTAAACCAAATGACAGAATTTTCCCTTTTCAGATTTATTTATTTATTCATACAGAACTGGGGTACAGGCCAGAGATGCGGAGGGTGAGAGGATTCACCAGAGACAGAGCTGGGAGCAGAGCAGGCAGATCGACGAAGTACACTGCTGAGGGGAGCAGCGGGCAGGTCAGGAGAGGTCTGCCATGCCATGTGGTCACCTCCGGGGCAGGCGGGGATCGAACTCATGCGGAAGTAGATTTAGTTTCTCAGTGCAGTGCTTTAACCCGCTGCGCCACCAGGGAGGGCCCCGATTAAATATATGTTTAAAGAAATTTAAAACAGCATTACTCTTATATGTTTTTTTCATGTAATTCAATATTGACAAATTCTTGAGTTAAAATTCTGGGAAACTTCAGTTCATGTAAAACTTCACCAAGTTATTCCCCAAAATGGAGTCAAGAGAATCATAGGAAATGAGATTTTATGTAATAGTAATGTATGCAGTGTAGCTCATAAAAGGACATTATGAATATTTTCTTATTGAAGAAAGAAAAAAGAATCCTCTTCCTGTAGAAGTTTAGAAATGCCCAAAAGGCCACTGTCCAGGAATAACTGCAATTGTACTAGCAGTATCAACAGCAAAGACCTGTGTAATATGTGGGACCTTGGAGGGAACCACATGCCTGGGCATCTCATGGAGAAGAACTTGAGGGAGCTCTCAGCACCTGCTCTGTGAGGAAGACATGAAGATAGATGGTGCTGCAACTATCTGCTTAGCTTTTGATCTGTGTTTGTATTTCTACCAAAGTGTACCCTAAAAAGAGGTTTTATGTTATGAGGGAAAAAATAGAAGGAATTTAAAACCCTTGGAATGAAATTCAAGGGAAACAGAAGCGCAGGTAGCCATCTAATCTGTTCAATTTGGAATCGATTCTGTACTCATATGATGGGGGCCTCAGAGTCTAGGGAGGGACGATAGTGGCATCACTGTCTAGTACCTTGTTCATGCCTACCTACGGCGTGTATGTGAGGACAGAGGTGGCACTACACAG